GAAAAAGAAATAAATCTATATACGGTGAGTGGGAGTCTGTGCCTGCTCTGCCCTGCACACCTAATTTACCTACCCCCCCAGGTGATTCATATTTTGGCACTATTTTGACAATGTAAAAATGTACACCTGGTGTAGCTTACCTGCTTCAAATTCATTTAGTTTTTTACGTTTTTAAAGACTCGTTTACGTTTTAGTCCCAAATCTTAATTATTGGGAGAAAAAGTGACAGTGACTTTGATTTGAGTTTAAACACTAAAACTCAGAGCTGATATGCTTCTAATTATTATTCAATTATGGAACGATCTCCCACTTCCCATCAGACGAGCCCCTTCTCTGTCCATTTTTAAAACTCTTATTTTTATTCCCTGGCTTACGGACGGAGTTTTGCTCTGCACTGTTTTATTGTTTTTATTGATCTTAATGTTTTAACTGTTTTGTGATTTTGTCTTTAAATGTTCTTGATTTTATACGTACAGCACTTTGTTGCATGTGGTTGTTTTAAAAGGCTTTATAAATAAAGCATTATTATATTATTATTTGTTGAAAAGCAGAGTTCATTTCAAGATGATGAGAAATAATGTACGCTGAACAAAAATCTAAACGCAACATTTTGTTTTAGCTCCCACTTGTCACTAGCTTAACTCAAAGGTCCAAGTCTTTTTCTACGAACACAAAAGACCCTTTTCTCTCACATATTGCTCACAGATTTGTATTAATCTGTGTTAGTGAGCATTTTCTTCTTATATTTTGTTCATTATAATAAAGTATAAACGTTATAATACTTGAAGCCAATAATTGTGAACAAGGTTCTTGTCAATCATCTTTGGAGCATGGTGCTTGGTGTCCAGTCCCACCCTATGACATCATTCTGGTCCAGTTTGGGAGCTGCTGGAAAGTTGGACCAGCTCCGTTCAGTCTTGGCTGGACACTGGTTCTGCCATATGGGCCGCTCTGGCACCGCCTCACTGTACTCTTCACTTGGCTGAACATTAAGTCACTCTTTATTCAGATGCTCCTTCACCCTGTGGTTCACCACTTCTACTGAATGCTCTCCATCGGGATCCTCGGTTTTCAGACCCATTTGCAGGCAGGCAAGGAGATAAGGAAGTTAAATAAAATAATTTATTAAACCACAAAACAAAAGGCTGGCGAGGCAGCAAAAACTTACACAAACAGGGTGCGAAGAGAAAAGGGACGGATCTTCGAGTGAAACAGGAACAGGCAGAACGGAGGAGGACCAGGACGTCTGAATGTGTACAGAGCAATGAGCGGACGTTCGAATAGTGACCAGGCAGCGGTAGAGTGAGTAATGAGTGCACCTGGGATGATTGCTGATTACCACCTGGTGTGAGTGACGTGTGGCTGGACAGACTGAATTCAATTCAATTCAGTTTATTTATCTAGCGCCAAATCACAACAAAGTTGTCTCAGGGACTTTACAGGAACATTCACATAAAAGCCAATTAGTAAAGTTCTCTATCTAAGGAACTTAGACTGAAGAGAGTGAAAATGACAGGGAGCACAGTCAAACACAAAGAGCAGAAAAATAAAATAAAGACACAGAAACAGTAAGACAGCAGACAGAAGGGACAGATTATGTCACTGTTACATCCTTAGAACGGTTTTTATTTTATATTTATACACATTTATTTTAGAATTTTAACTATATACTGTAAAGTATAGTATAATGCAATAGTGGCATGAAAATTAACAGAAATATAATTTAAATCAAATTATGTAATAAACACCGATGTAACATTTTCTTGTTGTGACAACCATAATCGAGAAACTAGTTATGGTGTTGGAAGCAGAGCCCTATATAGAGGCTCTCTCTATGGCGCTGGTTGGAAGTAAACGCCTGGGCAAAGAACTAAATCCAGGAAGAAAAAAGTCAACACACGTGAAAGCTGAAACAAACAAAGCAAGTGACCCCTTTAGGCTGGACCCAGTACAAGTTTTAGGTTATGTCCTTTAATGATGTCAATGTTAATGTCAATTTACTTCCATAGCACATAAAACAACAAAAGCTGACCAAAGTGCTTTACAGTTAAGTTTGAAAAAAGTTAGAAAAATAAAAAAAACCAGTAAAAAATACATCTTGTGCCACTCAAAAAAACATAAAGCTAACAATAAAATGCAACAATGGTAAAAGTCAGCTTTAACCAGTTCTCAGACTCTGCATGGATCAAATACCAAGGTAAACGTTGGTTACGTACTGTAACCCCAGATTCTATGAGTATAGACGTAGCCCTTTAAGGCTTTTGCTGGTGGGTTTCATGCCATTGTGCACAGCGCAGCCCTGAAAACTTTAGTCCACGCCCACCTGCTGTGTGGGCCTCATCCGCTCCGTATAAATTATGGTGAGACCAGGTAATTGGCTCCCAAATAGCTTTTTCTTCAGCCATTTAGGAACCAGTGAGGCCCAGAGCTTATAGGGCTACACCTATACTAATAGAATCTGGGGTTACAGTACATAACCAACGTTCTATTTCATACAGGCTTTGCCCTTTAAGGCTGTCGCTGGTGGGTTAAAGGCGAAGCAGGATGTAGTCTATGCCTCACTGTGTCCGTTCAGACACAATATGAAGCGCCCGCTTGCACCAAAAAACATTTCATCACTCGGCCTTCTATGTGCACCATGCACAGAAGCGTGTTGCGTAATTACCTGTTCCATGCACAGGAGCGCCCCGGAGACAAAAAGTTTTCGACGGGGAAAAAAAGGGGAAGGCTGAAAGAAGTCCTGCTGCCGAGAGTGGGAAAGAACAGAGGTTACAATTGTAACCGTGTAACAGTGAACAGAGCAAATCAACAGCTCTTCAATATGAACTGATTAATAATAAATGAACTGATTAGTAACAATAGAAAACAGCAGTCACAAAAGTTGTGACTGATAATAAATGACTCACACTGTAATCGCATGCAGTCGGATGTAAGTTTAAACAAAATTCCATGAAAACAGTAATATTCATTCTGTTAAAACACTAAGAAAAGAATGGGCCATGGAACAGGCCGAAACATCACACAGATAAAAGCGGATAAATGAACAAGGCGATGTCCAAGTGGCCGCTGTACAAATGTCCTCCACTGTCATACCATTATACAAAGCTGTCGAAGATGCAATTCCTCTGATGGAATGAGCTCTGAGGTTCTCTGGAGGCTCCAATCCTGACGCTCTATAAGCTTCAGAAATGGCCTCACACAGCCAGTGTAACAGATGCTGGGTGGATAACGGGCGACCTGCAGAGACATCTCTATAATGCACAAACAGACGCTGAGTTTGACGCAGTGTGGCCGTGCGTGTTATGTAACATGCCAGCACACGCACAGGACAAAGGAGATGAAAAGAGGTTTCTTCTTCTGATTTGTGAGGAGGAGGATAAAACCCCTCCGATGTTATCATTCTCGATTTAAATGAACTTATGATGTTTTTGGGCATAAAAGCTGGATTAGGTCTCAGCGCAGCTGAGCTGCCATCAGCCTGAATCCTGAGGCATGATGGGGCAGCAGAGAGTGCAGATAAATCGCTCACTCTCTTTGCAGATGTCAAAGCCATCAGCAGGGCTGTTTTAAGTGACAGGAATTTAAGTGAAACCTGATCTAAAGGCTCGAAAGGAACTTTGATCAGGGCTCGCAAAACCATCATTAGGTCCCACTGTGGAGCTAGTGGGCGTGACACCGGTCTGTGAATCCATACACCTTTTGGAAAACGCTTTATTAGCGGATGATTAAAAACTGTTCTGTCACCGAAGCCTTCATGACAGGAGGAAATAGCTGCAGCATATATTTTAATTGTGCGGAATGCTAGATTTCTGTCCATTAGCTGCTGCAGAAAGGACAGCACGCCACCTAGTTGACATGAGATGGCCTCTACACCTTTCTCCTTGCACCAGCGCTGAAAAGCTGTCCACTTTGATGTGTACAGCGCTGTGGAGGAAGCAGCATGTGAGTCTTGGATTGTGCGCACCACTTCCTGAGAGTGGCCCATCTTCTCTAAATGGATCCACTCAGCGGCTGAAGGCGTCTCATGTGGAGTAAGCCCAGCGGAACCACAGCGTGAGCTGATGACATAGTTCCCAAAAATTTCATGATAGAGACGGACGTTACTACTCTGCTGGGTTTTAAGCGGCGGAGCTGGTCCTTTAGAGCTTCGGCTCTTGTCTGTAATAAACGGGCCCTCATAGTGACTGAGTTTAGCTCCACTCCCAGATAAACGATCATCTGGGCCGGGAGAACCAAACTCTTCTCCCAGTTTATGGTGAAACCTAGGTTCAGCAGATGTGACGTCAGCGCTTTGGTTTGCACAGCTGCTTCCTGCCTGGATCAGGTTAGTAACAGCAGATCGTCCAGGTAAAACAAAATTCTCATCCCTACACTGTGTAGCAGCTGCAGAGCTGTCTCCAAGCATTTTGAAAATGTGCATGGTGCGAGGGAATAGCCAAACGGGAGCCTGTTGTACTGGTACTGGGTCCCTTGGAAGAAGAAACGCAGGAACTTTCTGTGTTTTGGAATGGTTGGTATGTGAAAATAGGTGTCTTTTAAATCTATGGAGGTAAACCAGTCGTTCTGGTAAATGTTGTCCAACAGCTGTCTGGTTGTCAGCATGTGGAACTGTCTCTCCATGATCGAGTTGTTGAATATGGATAAGTCCAAAATGGGTCTCATCCCTCCGGTCCTCTTCGGAACCAGGAAGTAACGTGAGTAAAACCCTGTTTTCCTCTCTGTTGGGAACCATAGAAATTTAATTTTTTAATCAGTAATTCTTGAGCTTCTGAGTGGAGAGACAAGATCTCTTCTGGAGATAACAGAACCATCTCTATAATCCCTCTGAATGGTGGGGGTTGATCTGCGAACTGCAGCGTGTAACCTTTGCTGATAAGATGATTCATCCATCTGTCCAGGGAACACACTCGCTGCCACTCTGCGAAACGCTCTGGGAGCGGGCACGTGTTTTTATGTTGTGTCAGGTCCTTTACGGACGTTAACAAAGCTAAGGCCTCTACCATCGTTATATGCTCTGGAGATGCTCACTGAGCGACCCATGGAGAGGCCTCGCCGAAAGAGCTCTGGGAACACCTCTGTGCTGCACTCAGGCTCACATAAGAGTTGATGTGAGCTGACGCGCACTGAGGAGAGGCGTGAGCGCCTTTAGAAATGCAACGCTGTTTGGGTGGAGATTACAGTTGCTGTGGGGAAACGCGTTTGTTCCCGTTGTGGTCAGAAAAATCAGAAGACAACCTGGGCTGAGAGCGAGGTTTTTTCTGGGCTCAGTCTGCTGAAAAAAAAAAAAAAATTTTTGCTGCTGTGTCAAGCAAGCATTTTGTGTGGTTTCTCAAGCTGCGGTGACTTTTAAAAACCTGTTTTGAGGTTACTGGCTCGATTTGTGTGGAGGATGTGTGAAGATATGCTGCTGTGAGATATTTCGATCTGACAGTCAGGCTGGAATCAGACACTTTATTTTCTGAATGATGTTTTCATTTTATTTTAAAACTCAAGTCATCATTATACACACACACATCGTCTGCAAAGAGTTATTTCTTGTTTCTTCTCCACCGTGAGCCCTGCGACTAGTTGTTCCAGGGCGGCGCCTGTTGGCGGTCTCTGGGGAAACGCTGAGTTGCTGGCTGCCGCGATGAGAAGGACTGTTCTCTGGTGGGAGGGGCCGGCGGCAGAGCGGGGCGGTAGGTCACTGCTGCAGCTGTGGAATGTCTCTGCTGCTGCCTATGGCCACGGCGATCTCTCCAGCGGGCGGGGGGACGGGAGGAGGGGTGCGGCTTCATCAGGTGGTGCACAGTCTCCGACACCTCCTACGACTTTTTCGACTTTTCAAGCATGGCCTTGAAATTGGCCCCAAACAGCGCGTTCGTCATGATGGGGCCCTCCAGCAGGTCTTTCTGCAGTTTCTCTGGCAAGGAGGGGGAGTGTCGGAGCCAGGTGGACCTCTGGATCATTGTCATCCAGGCGGCGATGCGAGACAGGAAGACCACAGAGGAGGCACAGAGGTTGAGGATGACGTCAGACGCTTTGCAGAGCGAGCTCCTCATCTCCTCAGGCAGGTCTGAGTCCTCCAGCCTTTTGAAGATGCTGTAGGCCAGCAGGGTGACATTGTTGTTCGCTGCGGCCGCCTGGAAAGCACACTGGTGGGCTCGATTGGAAAGCAACGTCACCGTCTGGTCATGTCTCCCTGAAGGGACAGGACGCTGGTCCAACCTGGACACTTTTGCTCCGTGTGCTTCCGCCATGCTTGGCTCCGGGGGAGTACCGAGGGAAAATTCCGCTCAATAAACCCCTCCACTCTGGTGATGGGAGTGAAGGTGGAAATGGGCGCCTTTAGCTTCCCAGGTCTGGCTGCAGCCTCGTTCCAGTAGGACGTCACTGCTGGGAAACGAGGCCAGATGGGGTCAGGGCGGCGAGCCGGGGTGGAGCCAAACCTTCCCGCTAGATCATCCGATCTGAGCGGGGGAGGAGAGGGATGGAAAGTTCCTTCGTGTCAGCTGCCTCCTGGATTATGCCTAGCATCTCCGAGAGGAGAGCACCGACAGGGAGCGGTGTGTTTGCCGATGCGGAAAGGCCTGGGGGGG